GTTTACGAAAATGGTATAGTTACGCAACCTGTCACCGTTTCATTGTCTGGTTGATTTTTTTAACACCATTTCTTCACACATTTAGGTATTCCAATCAATTCCATTGCCATATGAAATTGTTTGAGCTCATTCGCACAACTGCGCATCACGTAACGCTTGTTTGTCCGTTCGATGGCCTGAAACTGTGCAAGGATAGGCCAGTACGCAACATGTCACCGTTTCATCGTCTGTTGTTTTTTTTAGCACCGATTCTTCACACATTCAGGTAGTTCAATCAATTACCTTGCCATAGGAACTGGTTTGAGCTCAATCGCACAACTACGCAGCACGTGACGCTTGTTTGTGTGTTCGATGGCCTGAAACTGTGCAAGGATAGGCCAGTACGCAACATGTCACCGTTTCGTTGTCTGCTTATTTTTTTTAGCACCATTTCTTCACACATTCAAGTACTTCAATCAATTACCTTCCCATATGAACCGTTTTGAGCCCAATATCACAACTACGCAGCACGTGACGCTTGTTTGTGCATTCGATAGCCTAAAATTTGGCAAGGATAGGCCAGTACGCAATATGGCAACGTTTCATCATATGGTTTAGGGTTTTTTAGCACCATTTCTTCACATATTCAGGTATTTCAATCAATTACCTTGCCATAGGAACTGGTTTGAGCTCAATCGCACCACTGCACAGCACGCGTCGCTTGTTTGTGCGTTCGATGGTCTGAAACTGTACAAGGATAGAGTTGTACGTAAGATGTCACCGTTTCATCGTCTGTTATTATTTTTTTTTTTTAGCACATCTTTTTGTACACTCTGGTATTTGCCTTGCCATAGGAACTAGTTTGAGATCATTCGCACAACTGCGCAGCACGTGACGCTTGTTTGTGCATTCCCTGGCATGAAATTGTGCAAGGGTAGGCCTGTACGTAACAAGTCACCGTTTCATCGAGTAATCATCAGACATGATCACTGCGACGAGGCTTGTCGAATGTCATCCCTTGATCAGAGGATGTGGCTCGATGAAGAGCTCCCCGTCCGTCAGAGTTCATCGATGGAAATGGCAGATCAGGGGACGAGCTCGTCGAAAAACCCCCAGACAACCAGAGCTCGCGGATGGGCTAGCCGACTAGTGGATGGCCTCGTTGAAAACCACACATCGTTTCAGATGACGGACTGATCTACAATATGTGTCATCTAAACTGGAGAGTGTTGACGGGAGTTGGCCCCGCACTCGCTTGGGCAAAGCTAACTTCGTGGTCGGGTGTGTGGGAGGTGCAGCTGACCCTCTGCAGTATTCGAGATCTGGCGCTTCTGCACAGGTTGGGACAAGGACCTCGTGCACAAGGTAAGGGGTTGCTTGCACACGAGTTGTACTAGGGAACCCATGCAAGAGTAACTGAAGCACCTGCGAGTGCAACGCAAACGTCTTGTGCACATGTGCAAGTGGTGCAGCTGGTGCAGAGGTTCGCAGGTGTTCATCTGCGCTGGGTCACGTCTGACCCTGCGCACCCTTGCGATCGCAAAAGAGCATTTCAGCTAGGAATTCGAATGCGCCCTAATTTCAATCAATGAGGAGATGAAATTTCAACCAAGGTGTTCGAATAAGGTGATCGACGAAGGTCGTCGACACGCGACGACGAAGGTCGTCGACCCGCGACGACGAAGGTCGTCAACCGACGATGACGACGACCATCGTCCTGCAGGATTGACGGTGACTTCACCTGGTCGACCAAGTTACCTGGTCGACAAGCGTTTGCGGAGGGGCGCGAACGTCATCGAGGTTCCTGTGGCGAAGTCGTCCGACGTGGCAGCACGTGGTAGACGTGGCTCGTCAGGTGCAACCGTTGGCATGTGGCAGACATCCTGCGCAATGCGCGCGACAGTGCAGGTCGTGCATAACTGTCTACTTGCACCTGCGAAGTAGGTGCTAGCACATGCGCTCACAATCAGTTGCGGATGCAGTACGGACAAGCCGCACGGATGCTGCATTAGCAAGCCGCGCGGGTGCAGCATTGGTAGGTCGCCATTCTGCAGCGTTGGCAAGTCGCACTCGAGCCACGTTGGTGGGCCGCGGTGATGCTACGTTGGCAGGTCGAAGAATTTGTCGCACTGGCAGACGACCTGCCTGTGCACTACCAGACCTTGCATCTGAGGTAGTATACTTTTGCGATTGCCTGTTGTTCGAGAGGTACTGTATTCTAAAATTTCCTTAGTTAAACTCTTGTTGTTTTGCCCTCTAAACCACATTTGCTATGTAACACATACAGAGCTACGATCAAACTGACAACTCGTTCCTACCCGTAGTCTAGCTCCACTGTCGTAGAGTTAATGTTCATAACGAGCCCGTACGATGACCACTTCGTCAAACTCACCATGTCGCTACAGAGAACACCTATGCCGAGGCCAAGGCGGGGCCTGTCACTTCGGCATAAGCGTTTGATCGCAATACGGGTGAGCATTGTTCAGGCAAAGCCGGTCGTCACAATGGAAGTAGTTTTTTGGCACGGTTCGTGATAGGGTCAACCGTTCTTGTCTACGAGTACGACGTACTATCTCCCTACGTGAGGTTGACGGATTCTGAGATCATTTGCAAACGATGGGTATAACTGAACCTGCGACACGGTACCAAACGGGTTAGCATGTTGCACGATTGCCGGTCATGACACGCGAGTGTTGCTCGTCAAGACGGCGCCAAATTCGTTGATCGAACCTTCTGCACCCAATCATCATACAACGATCGACAGATTTTTCCAGACTCGATATCGCGACAAAAGTGCAAAATGTGGCAAAAACTATACTCCATCCGTAGAACTATCAAAATCAATTCATATGTATCGCGTAGAGAGGATGCAATACGAATATCGGCCGAAACTGCCTCCTCGCTTTGCATGGAGGGGATTCAGCAACAAAACCCGGAAAACATGTGTTATGTTACACAAAACAGCTGTGATTTCACCTAGATTAAGCTCCGTCCGAGGTTCGTGGGACCCTAACGCATCATTAAGATGCATAACCTTTTGACAGTAAGTTACTGTCGCGTGATGCAGACCCTCTGTCTTTTACTCGTTACATGCCGATATGCTCCATCACATGGATGCACCGCAGTTGGCAGAAGTTGAATTCTTTTCTCAGGCAATTCGTAGATTTGGCGTAGTTTGACCGCCTAGATGGCATCCATAACGACCACGCTAATGCAATTTTAAGGAGGTGGATTTTCCAATCTTGGTACTGTGCCTCTCGATACGAGCTCGTGCCTCATTTTTGGTCGAAAACGCCCGGCCCAACAGCAACGCCTCCATTTTCGCGCTATTGTTTCTAGGATTTGTTGTTTCATCCATAGATATCGTACAAGTTTCACTATCGCAGGTTACGATCTCTTTTATTTCAGTACTCTAGTTGATATACATAAGATGTAATTTACCAATGTCATAGATGTCATAGGTAACATCTCTTGTTATCTAAGTTCATGTTATAAACAACCCCAACTCTCACTGGCTGATCGCGTATAGTCACTTGTCAAGTCAATATTGGCTTGGCATAAACGTGTGGCGCAATATCGGAAGGGAAAATATCAAATTGGGGCCGAACAATAGCAGGGAAGTGACCAAATTAGGGCCGGAGAAACCGAACCTGGACTTTTGGAGCTAAAATCCGACTTTTCCATACTTGCGATCCGATTTCACTTGTCACAGGTTCTGACCACCCCGCGCGTCGTAACTGATGGATTTGAACATTTATGTCGTTATGTCAAAATAAATTAGTGCTTTCTGCTCGTCAGCACTACGAAGCACTAGACGACGCTACCAGAAACTGTTAGGGCAGGGAGAAAAAACTAATCCCCTAGAGAACCTGGACCCATTTTCGGGAGGGATCAACCCTAAACACGGGAACCCAAGTAGAGTTTAGGGTTGATGTCTCAACGAGTCGCATCCGTATCCGATTTGGTTTTTTTTTTTTTTTTTTTTTTGTCAGCTAAAGTGATGTAAATTTTCCGAGACCACGATGAAACCTACTCCCAGAGGAATACGACGCGATTTTCGTAATAGGCGGCGATCATAACCTAGAATAAATAACTTGATCCAATAAAGTCGAAATGCTTGTATTTTCGTGTAAATCTAGGCTCGAATTTCCAACCCTACCACTTGGGCAGCCTCGGAGGCATATCCAACGGTTGGGATTAACCCGGCCCTAATTTGGTCACTTTCCTGCTAATGTTCGGCCCCAGTTTGATCTTCTCCCATATCGGAAAGCATTTTGGCCCGATGCCGCATCACGTTTCAGCTGGATCACGCCACGTCGCAAGTTTTATCCTGCCTTGTTGCCCAGTCGACCAATCACAGTGTTTCCGAGGGGGTGTTGTCTAGGTTCAGTCCCTTCTGTGCTGTCAATAACATCCTGCCTTGCTGCAACGCCGACCAATCCAAAAGATTAGAATGTGTGACGAGGAGGCGTTGGCGACAACGCATCACCTTTGCCCTTTACCCCTACTGACGTGCACCTACCGACCAGTCCCTGCCACAGCGCCTGTCACGGGAAAAGTCAAGATGCTGCGCACGGTCAGCTTGTTCAAATCTCGTTTCGCGTTCAATACACCCACCATGGGCTTTCTCACCTTGGTTAAAAGGGATTTTAACGGCCAAAACCACCCCAAAGCGTCCATCATTCCGATGGAGCCTAAAGGTGCGGACGTGGTTCGGGCAGGAGATATTTTGAGTAAAAGAGTTAAAGCACCTCGACGTAACGTAGGGGTCACTCTCTCTTCCCCATTCTTGCCATCAGGAGAACCAGGAATTACGCTACCTCCAGGCTATTCCGAAAAGGCCTTGCTGAAGCGCTTGTTGCAGCGTAAGGCTTATAGAAAGGCAGTGAAGAGAAGACCGATTGGTCAGTTGGGGGAACAAACCGAGACAGAGCCTACTAATTTTCTGCATGGCATGCATCACGAACCGAGCCAGATGACACCGACGGCAACACCTGGCACCATTACCATCCAGGGTCTTAATGGTCAACCCGTGACCTTCCCAGCTAATTCTGAAGCATGGCGAGGAGGTCGCCTCTGGCAATCTGAAAATGTCGCCCAGGATGGCGACGAGGATAGCGACTCGGAAGAAGAGGAGAGTTATGAGGCTGCTGAAGAGGCAGGAGATCAGCAACTCCCCTTTGAGCCGGTGCTTGTGGATGGTGACGCTGGAGCCGCCGTTGGCTACGAGCAAGTAGACGTTGGAGGCGATCTTGGCAACATAGACGCCTGCGCCGGTGACGCCCTTCGCGACATGCAAGCAGTCGCTGGAGGTGCCGCAAGCAACGTCCAGGCCATCGCTGGAGCCGGGGTTGGCAACACTCAAGCCTTCGCTGGTGTCGCCATTGGAAGCGTGCAAGCAGACGCTGGAGACGCCGATGGCTATGTGCAGCTCATCGCTGGAGCCGTTGCTGGCAACTTTCAAGCCATCGTTGGAGTCGGAGTTGGCAACATTCAAGCCTACGTTGGTGCTGCCCTTGGCCACGTGCAAGCCCTCGCTGGAGGCACCAACATGCAAATAGCTCCTGGAAATGCTCTGCCGACTCGGAGACTTTGATCTGCACGTAATGTTACTAGTAATTCTGCTATATTTCACTGGCATTTACGTTTATCATCGCGTTTGCTGACGTGTCTGAGAACCGTTAACATCTCTGTTGCCTATCTGTGGCTCTTTATTTTTTACCTACTGACTTTTGTCTTTGTTAATGAGTTTCTTGCAGTGTGCGAGAATTTGTCCTATGCTGACTGTCCTTGTTCTCAATACGTGATGGCAGAACCCGATGCTCATCATGCTGCGGCCAACCGTAATCTTCAGGCCGAGATCGACGACATGCGCAACACGATGTCGATCCTGCATGAGAACCAAACGTCACTGATCCACGTTGAGCAGGAATGGGATGCGCTTCGTGAGGAGGTCGCCGTGCTGCACAAGAAGATTCGAGTGCTCAAATCGAAATCTCACAGCGGTGTGGAAGCTATGGACTACGATAATCCAGATATTGACATGGAGAAACTTCCCAAGGTCGATGGGAAGATACATATCCCTTCCTCCTTGTCTGATGATGATGCTTTCGCGGTGAGTTGTTAATATTTTCCATTGTTGCTGCTGCATCTGATGCGGAGTAGATAGATAAATATACCTACCCTGACTCTTTGTTTTTTTTTGTATCCCATCCATGCCCTGTGTACTTGATCCCTGAAACAAAAGAACGCGCTCAACGTGTACGTCGTGATGATTACGGGAGGCCCGGCTGCGAAGATGCAGTTCTACCCCGAGTGGGACGAGATGGTTCCGCTAATGGTGCGGAAGTACACTAGGCTAGGTGTGTGTAAGGACCTGTATTAATTTGTGGCAGGGGGTGACAAGAAGAAGGAGGCGGAGGCGATGGAGAAGATCGCCAACAAGCGTCAGACCGTCAACAAAGTTTTCAAGCTTTATGGATGCGGCGCAGGAGGTGGTGTGGCAGAAGAAAAGTGGCCTGAGCTGAAGAAGGTGGGTCTCAACCTAACTACGAAGAGAAATCCGACCGTCTGGACTGCCTATTATAAGGATGGTAAGTCATGGTGTTGTGTTTTTACATGCTAGCTTTTTTAATAATAAATTTCGCTGACATTTTCCGTTGTAATCACGCGTGGAAGTATGGTTTGCGATGGCACTGCTCTGCTGAAGGCCGACCATTTGCTAACCTCTCTTTTCTGCTGGCGGTCATTAAGGGATTTAGCAGCAACCAAGCCACCACTTTCCCCCTCAAGCTCCCTGCCCTTGGCTATGTTTGCCATGTGGTATATGTCTGTATGGTTGTTCTCCCTTACTCCATGCCTTCGCCTTGTGTTTTTACTCTCTTATGTTGTTTCAGATGGAGTGGCCCATGGCTCACTGGAAGGGCAAGAACTCGCCATCCCTTGACACCGTGGAGCTTAACAACCGCAACTGTGTGACACAAAAAGACAGCTGTATGTGCCTCGTGGCTCAAGGAGTGGCTAGAACGGGAGCCAGGCTTGTTCAAGGCAGATGTGCCTCTGGGATTTGAGATGGGCACTGCTTTTTCTGGTAAGGACGAATTGAAAGCTAGGATATTGATTGAGGGATGGGAAGCCTTTTTCTTCCCACGTGGCGCCCCTAAGGTTGAGGATTGGCCTCTTGCATGAACTAGTACTAGCAAATGTAACTGTTGAGCAACTGTTTTAGTGTCGCATATCTAATTTATATGGCTTTTTGGACATGTCAAATACATAAATGATAAATTTGGAGCGATTAGGGAAACTAGTGTGCAATTGAAACGATTCTTAAAATGGTGGTGGTATTATCAATCATCCTGCGTAGAGTAAAAAATGCCCTTTTCAACAGGGCCCAAATTATCAAGGTAAAATACCCTTTTTGCCCTTTCTGTGGGCCGCTTTTATTCAGTTACCCTGATCAAGGCAGGCTAACCGTATAGTTACCCTTTGTTCAAATTTGTGGTTTCTTTTTTACCCTTTCAAAAACAACATAGGAGTTTTTTTCCCTGTCTAGAATGTGAAACATATGAGTTACACTGGTACCGATTCGGAGAAACACGCATACCTTCCGTTGACCATTCGCCACCATCAAGGTTCGAACCTGCGATTTTACTATTTGGAAGAACTTCGCTAACTGACCAAGTGACAAACTGACGTCTTTTCTGTTACTAAGAATTATTATGTAATATTTACTCTGATACAGTCAGGCTACTTTTTTTTTAGCCTGTATTTGTCAGTGTATCAGAAATTTTACCCTAGGCCATCAGGGTGGGACAGGCTGAGACCGTGATTAGACAGGGTGGCCTAAAACCAATTTTGGGCCCTGCTTATCAGCTTTCATTAGGGTCACCAAAGAATATTATGCACAAGTTATAAAATACTTAAAACTGAATCTTTGTATTCAGCTGTAACAGTAACCGACGTTATTCGCTTATTCCGGAGCCAACGAGCAGTCATTCGCTAACACCGCGACATCACACCAAAAACTGACAAACACTGTCCGCTTCTCTCCTTCCCCACGTAAATCTGCGTGCTACCAAAACAGCCAAACACACCCGCTCCCCTAAACTGCTCGTTACTCAACCGCCCCAAACACGCAAAAGACACCAACTTCGGCAGCTTACAGCCCCATATTAGAGGACACTGTAGCACAAAGCAGGGCCACACCTGGCAGTTTGCAACTTGCACGGAAAAAGACGGTTTCGGGCAATATGCCACTCCATTTACGAGGGGCATAGAAACCCGCCGATTTCAATTGAATAGTTCTGCAGATTTGCCCAAATACTGCCGTAAAATCTCCGAACAATTTTCTGATGCACACTCCCCCGTCGCACACTCACTTTCGTCGCTCAAGAACTCCCGTCCCGCAATCACTCCTATCGCTCTCGTTACCCGTTGTTGTCCGTCCTTGTTCGTCTATTGCCCGTCTTCGTCGCTCCCATTGTTCCCCTCCCCTCTTCCTCCCTCCATCCCCTCCATACCCTACCATCCACCAACTGAAACAGTTGTATTTTTCCCAAGTTTTGACCCCTCTCTCTTCTCCATCTCCGCGCCACCCATGCGACATTGATTGCTCAAGTGTGCACACACTGTGCACAATCCCCTCCCCTTGGCCTCCCTGCCTGTTCCCCTCTGTGCCATCCCCGCCCTTTCCCTCCCTCTCCTTTCTCCCCTCCCCCCTTCCTGTTCTTCCCCCCTACAGCATGCAGGTGTGCGAACAAGTGTGCCTGTGTACTGCTGGTGCTGTACAAGCCAGTGTTGAATTTGCGGAGATAACTACTACAACGGGAGCTAGTCTACGGGGTAGGCACAGGGTAGGAGTGATCGTAGCGTTCATTCCTTAGTCGTTTGCTTGTGCTCTCTCTACGCACACATTCACGGGGAGAATTGGCAAGAGTTTCACTAGAGAAAGTTGACAACAAATGTTCAGGATGATAGCAACAACATTGGCAAGGTTGACTACATCAGAGCTAGCAAGCATGCAGGTCGACTGCCAGCGCAGCACGGTCGACCGCGTTCCAGCACGACATGGTCGACCGCGCTCCAGCAGTGCAAAGTCGCGGCCTGCCAACGCTGCAAATTGACAGCGTGCCAACGCTGCAGCAAGGCGGCTGCACAGCGTTGCACACGCAAGACAGCAACACACCCGCTTTGCAGGTGCACGCAGATGATTGGCGTGCTGTGCCGCGTCACCCGCACAGCGCAGAGCACCAGGTCGTCCATGTGCTATCTACTGCACCTGATCAGCCACGTCGACCTCGGGATACCACCACCGAGGTCAGCTTCGCCAGAACCACCTGGGCGATGATCTCGCACCTCCGCAGATCATCGTCGCCCGGGTAACCTGGTCGACCGGGCAACCACCAAGTCGGCGTCGACTTGCGTGGCCATTGTCGACCAGCTGCTGTACGTGCCCGTCGACCACCCAGGCCGACGTCCTCTAGCCGTCTTCACAAAGTCGGTAACTCCCCAAGTCGGCGCTCCCAAGTCGGGCGCCGACTTCCAGGTCGACCTCCGAAGTCGGCGGCCCCCAAAGTCGGTGCCGACTCCCAGGTCAACCTCTTGAAGTCGGCGACCTCCTCAAGTCGGCGACCTCCTGAAGTCGGCGACCTCCTAAGTCGATCTCCTGAAGTCGGCCACCTCCTGAAGTAGGCGACCTCCTGAAGTCGGCGACCTCATGAAGTCGGCGACCTCCCAAGTCGGCGACCTCCTGAAGTCGGCGACCTCCCAAGTCGGCGACCTCCTCTACTGCAAGTCGGCTGCATTTCTCGTACACCCAACTCCAAAGTCGGCTCCGCCCAAGCGAGGACGGGGCCAACACACAACTCCCGTTGACACTCCCCTGCCGCATTCACGCTTGGGCCTCCACCCCACACGGCAGCACTACTTGTAGAATAGCTCGTCGTCGTCGGCGTGCACACAACACACAGCACGCCAGTCACCGCACCAGCCATGCAAGAGGGCATGGCACCTACTGCTGCACGTCGTCGTCACCGTCGCCGACGTCGGCCAGCCGTACTTGGCCGATTGCGACGGAGCACCGGTTGAAGGCCGGAAAGTGCAGCGCCTTTGTCAGGAAGTCGGCCGCTGATTGGTGGTCGGGATGTACTTCAGCGCACACTTCCCGCGCTTCATCATGTGCTGCAGCCAGGCATACCGCCGCTCCATGTGCTTGAGATTGCCCTGCAGCCCCAGGCCCTCGGCGACCGTGATGGCCGACTTGTTGTCCACCCGCAAGACAGTCGGCTTCCCGGCGTCCAGCTGCTGGAACTCTGCACGGAGGAAGCGAAGTCGACGTCCCTCCTTGCCGGCTTCGGTTGCCGCCACATACTCTGATTCGATCGATGACAGTGTCGCGCACTTGATGCGCTGGCTCGACCAGGAGACTGCGGCCCCTCCGAAGACGAACACGTAGCCGCCCGTGCTCGTTCGGTTCTGCTTGTCGTCGTCGGCGTCGTCAGCGTCGACGTAGCCGACCTTCTCCAGCGTCTCTGGTCCACCGCCGAACTCCAAGGCGGTATCACGAGTGTTAGCGAGGTAGGCAAGGCAGCGATCGACCTCGTGCCAGTGCTGGTCGCTCCTCACCGTGAGGCCACTCCCCAGCTTGCTGCAGGCGAAGGCGATGTCCGGCCTCGTCGTCATCGCCGCGAACTGCAGCGAGCCGACCTTCTACCGGTACTCCTCCTCCTGGCGCTCCTGTGCCTCCTCGTCGTCGAACGTCAGCTCGGCGTAGGCGTTGACGGTGACCGGCATCTTCGGGGTACGCCCGGTCTGCTCCTCGTCAATGAACCGCCTCCGCAGCTTGTCAGCATAGTTCTCCCGGTGCAGCCACAACTTCCTCGCTGGCCTGTCGCGCACGATCTCCAGCCCGAGGTACTTCTCCACCGGCGAGATCTCGCGCAGCTCGAAGGCGGCCTCCAACAGCTCCTTCAGCTCCTTCAGCTCCTTCAGCATCGCGGCGCTGCTGCTGGCGGCGAGCAAGTCATCGACGTAGACCAGCACCCAGCAGGCGACTTCGTCGTCACCGACCTTGAAGTAGAGAGCCTCGTCGACCTGGCTCTTCTTCCAGTCGGCGCCGACCAGCACGTC